AAGGAAAGGATTATTGAGCACCACCTAGGTAAAAATTAAAGAAACCCTCAATACTTCAAAAAAAAAAAAAAGGAAGAAAAAAAGGTACATTTGATTGACTCAATTAGAGTATTGGTCGTTTCATTAAATTCTTACCGAGTTAAAACTCCATAGTACATGCTCATGCAGTACGGGCCGCTGACCTATTCCAGTATACATGCGAATTGCGAAGGATTGTGATGAAAACCATAAAATTTTTTTTTTTTTGAGAGGGTAATGATTAAGAATTTAGTTTTTAATTAATTGTTAGCAATTGAGAATTCGATCATAAACCGAATGAATATTTCACCCTTCAAATGAGATGCGCGACTATCAGACCGTTTTGGTAGAGTTCAAGTTATTAAGACGATGATAGAACTTGAAACTCCGACTATCTCATCCAAGCACTTTAAGATTTGAAATCGAAACATTACGTCTAAAAACCCTGTTCAATAAAAACCATAAATTGGTTAGAGGAGAAGAGAGAAAATTTTATTATAATTAATTATTTTGTTAGCCAGATAATTTAATTTTGTTAATTAAAATAAAATTATCTATTCTTTTATCCATTTCCCTCAAACCAAACCAAACCAAAGGTTCTATTCATGGAGGCCGGCGGCTGCAAAAGACTAGTTTTCTCTAATCAATTTCCCACTTTATTAGAATGGAAATATTGTAAATGACATTTAAGAGAATTGATGGGGGTGTTGAACCGTATCCGGAATCAGGCGATGTTACTTCTGCCTGTGTATGAAAGTGATGCGTGGGTTGGCAAGCAGGCAGTTGAACATCCCATCAATGAAACCTAAATTTTCGGCTCAAAGGTACATGAAATGCAGACAAGTCAAAATTTACAGATACAACATTTTCAAGACGCAATTTGCCTTGAACTCCCGTATGATTTAGTAGATGGGCCACCCTATTTCTAAGAGTAGCAGGTGAAATCCATTCAGTTTCAATTTTAATACTGACTTATAAACAGATACCAACATCTAACTAATGTCACTTTGTCAAAGAAAAATTTAAAAAAAAAAAAAAACGCAATTTGCTTTAATTTGCTAGCAAGGAATTACTCAGAAATGTCAGCTGAATTACGGAGGACAGCCTGCTTATTCCTGAACAATATACTCTATAATAAGGTTACAAAAACAGGGACCATGAAAAAAATGAAATAAAATAAATATCATCATCTGGGGTCTCCAACAAGGAGCTTGGGTTGTGTAAAAAGCAACAAAGTGTTTGTGGTTGCCAAAGTTGAAAATGATCCAAAAATAAAACTAAAGTAGGGTGACCTTAGTATCGGTTCCAGTAGGTTCTGCGTCTGAACCAGTTGTAGTCAGGCAAACCCTGGATAGGCCCCAAGGCAGCAATTGCAACATCCTACAACAATTAAACATTAGGAAAGGTGCTCAGCTATGCTAGTTCTTATCCCTGAAAAAATTTATTTTACTCCATTTACAGTCAACGCACTGCAAGAAGGAACGAGAAATATTGGGTCAGGTTAGTGGGTCTTACCCTGTCATAGATAAATCGGTTGGCAACACGTTTAATGGTGCTTGAATCAACAGCGTCAATCCTTGCAAATAATTCAGCAAATGGCACTCTTCGACCATATGTAAGTAGCTGCAAGGAAATCAAAACAGGGGCAAATAAGAAGTTGAGGAGTACTAACTGACTGCAAAAGTCGTGACTGGATACTGTTGCCTGACTACAATCCCAGGTCAGTTATATACAACTTAAAGATGGTATTAAAAATACCAAATAACAGCCACCAAAGGGCCAAAACTACCCAAAAAGGAATAAAATTTTCTCCATACTTTCTTTGTCACATTTAGCATTTTTTATTTTTTATTGTTTCATATCTACCAAAAATTAACTTAAAAAACAGCTCATGCAAATTCAAAGATTAGCCATTTACCACTTGAGCTGAACATTAGGGCCATTTCTAGACTGAATTTTAATGTTTCAACCAATTTTGTACCTGGCGTCCAATATCTTCAGCTACATGACTTGTTCCATCCAAGTGAAGCATCAAGGAAGATTTCAGCTGCAACAAAATATCTGAGTAGTTAGGGCCATGTCATAGAATGGGTCTCTTCCTAAAGACATGCATAATAAAGGAAATAAATGTGACAACTGTGCTTGTGAGGCTGTGAACAAATAGGTTAAGAGCTATTCCAATTATCATATGATCCATTTTCAACAGACAAAAATGATTTAACACAGACCAGACTGACATTATTAAAAAACATTTCCATGACCCAGAGCTCCAAGGACTTTTCTCCAAAATTGCAGAATAGATCACTTAATTACTTGTATAACATAAAGAATAAATTCCTCAATACAAAAGCAACTAAAGTACATGCTGTGGCCTATTAGGTCCAGCAACTTTGCAATGTATCATGCATGATGTGAGAATAGAATTGTCAAACTATGTGCCAAAATTGCATTAGCAACACTTTTTTCCACTTTAAGACTAGATGTCCTATACTGGTATAATTATCAGAATCAAATGATGTTGATATGATATGAAAGCTGAAAAGCAACAGCCTTGATGGCTACCTGATTACGAGCACGAGTGACATCAGCTTCTGAAACTCGATAGACCAACTTGGTTGTCTCATACATAATAGCATAGGCCAAATCATCTAAACAATCAGGCTGAAAACAGAAACAAACCTTAAATGTTGCAAGAATAAGAAGGCCTACTAACATGCACATTTGTAACTTAAAAATTATAAGATCTTCTAAATTAAATTTAGAGAGAGAGAGTCCAACTTCATCTTTTTCTTTTCCAAATAATGTAGAAAATTAAAGAGCAACAGGATAATATTATGGCAAAGTTCCAAATCCAAGATAAAACAAGGATGCTAACTCTACACAGCAGCCTTACCTTGGCAACAGCATAGACACCGAATAGACCAGTGTCCTTGTAATTTGTGTTGAAAGCTGACATGCTTTCAGCTATTTCATCAATGCTGACTCTTTGAGCCAGCTCAGAGCTGTTCACAGTATTTTCAAGACTAATTAATACATATGACTGTAACAAATAAGTCCAACAAATGAATACTGAAGTACCTTAGTGCAAAATTATACCATATAAACAGATTTGAGTATAGAAAGCACTTACCCCATGTGCTTTCCACCAATAGCATTCTTGTTCCATGAACCAAGCATTACCTGCATGACCATCAAAGCAATGGAATCTGGATCTGTCCAAGATGCTCCTTCAAAAGCAACAGCAAATTGTGCCAAAGGGATATCATCGTCAATGATCCTAACCTGATGTTTCACAACAGTAGCAGAAAAGAATGACATCTTAGAAGGTCTTACCTATAAGAAAACAAAACTTAACTGAAAGAAAGATGTTAAAATTCGTTGAAGTAGACTCCCCACCTCAGAACCAGTAAAAGCAGTTGGTTCTTTTGCAACTAACTGAGAAGCAGTGGTTGGATCAGCTGATAACTTAGTAAACAACTTCTTCACTTGTTCAACAATTTCCTCATGTTTAACAGCTCCAGAAGCAGCAATTACCTGGAAGAGGTTCCATGACAAAGCATTTGGCAAGAACAAGGAAAATCAACTTTTTCAAATTCATGTATACTGGACAATGTACAATGAAAAGAACAAGTTCACCAGTTTTCCAAACATAACCACACAGGACTTAAAGAAATGAACAACATACCATTCTTGGAGCTGTATAGTGAGTCTGGATGTAGTCCTGAAGATGAGCTTTGGTGATTGTCTTAATATTCTGGGCAGGTCCAAGAATAGTTCTACCAAGAGGAGTGTACTGGAAAGCAGTTGCGTGCAAATGGTCAAAAATAACTTCCTCAGTTTGAGCTTCAACCTACAGAAATTCAATAAAATATTAGGTTTTTAATAAAAATAAGCCAGATGGTACTAATACTAATCAAGGGACAAGGCACCTCACAAAAAAGAAATGAAATATACACCTGCTCTGGTTATTAAGATAGGATTACCACACTCCCCACAAAATAAATAAATAAATAAAATTACAATTCAGATCCCAACATATTATCACTGCCCCAAACAAAAACAAAGAAACTCATATATATTAGCAAAAACAGAGCAGGCTTAGGAAGATGTCAATCTAAAATCCAAAACTTTGGCTTATTTACAAATAGAAAACAGGTCAACACTTTCACACATCGTTAAACCAGTCTTGTCATCAAGCAGAAATTCACACTAAACAGTCCACAAACATAACAATTTTTTCCAAAAAGAAATTTGCAACCATCAAACAAGATCTCATGAGAACTCACAGTTGAAGTGCAACTGGCCTATCTTCTCCCCAAAGCTAACATTTTCAATACAACTTAAACCTAAAAATATCCTACAAATATCCCTAATAGCAATTTAGCATCAACTCTAGCTGTCAAAAACAGCTATTTTCCTCCTCAAAAGCTAAAACCACTAACATGAACAACCTTCTCTACTGATTGTAAGTTCTTCCTTAATAACAAAAAAAATGATTTCTCCTAAATCACAAAACTTTCAGCTAAAACCCAAAAATCCACCTTAAACCAAAAAGAAAAAAATCCAAAAATCCAATTCCAGTTAGTCAGTTACCGCTTCCATTTCACGCAAAATCACATCCCGCTCCCTGATGATAGCCTTCTCATCAAAGGCCGAGTTCTGCAAAATATCAGCCAAAATATCCAATGCTTTAAATACATCCTTGTCCAAGACCTTGGCGTAGTACGTGGTCTGCTCCCTGGACGTGTAGGCATTCAGATGGCCCCCCATATTCTCGACCTCCTCCTCGAGTTCCCTCGCTGTCCGCTTACCAGTCCCCTTGAAAATCATATGTTCCAAGAAGTGCGCAGTTCCGTTAGTCTCATCGGTCTCAAATCGAGATCCTGCATCGATCCAGACACCAACTGTAGCAGAGCGGGAAGCAAGCGATGACTCGGTGGCAACACGGAGGCCATTGGGAAGGGTAGTCACACGAGTCTCAGGCAAGGAGAGGATATGAGTATGAGACGCAAGGGTGGGGTGTGGAGAACCGTGTTGGAGAAAGCGAGGGTCTGGTTTTTCAAGCTTCTTCAGCTTAGCTTTCACTGATTCAGCCAATCGGTCGTAGATCATGGCCATTGGTGGCGGAGGGGAGGGAGTTGGAGAGTCAACAGCGGTGGCCACGGACGATGACGATCGGAAGGAAGAAAGAGAGGATGCATTGGGCTTTCGGGACCGTCGGGCTAGGGAGAATAGGTGCTTGATCGCCATGATTGAATCTCCCTCAGCGTGGAGTCGAGGGTTTGAAGGACAGATGACGAAGACAGATACGGTAAATAAAAACCCAGCATTCAGTAACTGGGGCCTTGTTATGCTGGACAAACGACGTCGTTTAACGACGCAGGAATTGTAAGTCCAGGCCGCCTTCTAATCCTCTCTGTTGTGCGTGAGGTCGTCACACGTACCAGTGTACAACGTTCTATCACCTTGAAGGCGCCGTTTTTTTTTTTTT